AGGCTCTATAGCGTCTCCTTCCCGTAGGACTGCGATCTCTGCGCACGCAAGACGGGCATCTGCTGCTTTCACTAACGTAAAGTGGACACCCCTGAACTTGGGAGGGCGCCGGGCGAACTGAATCGCATCGCATAGCCGAGCCTGACGGTTCGAAGGGCCATCGAGACGGGCTGGGTAGCTCTAGCCAGGCTCCCAGACACCGCGTAAGTGGCATCAACGGAACTACAGGCGTACCTGCAGTGGGGCAGTGCGGAAGAATGCAGGGACCCGGCCCGTCCGAGGCGGGGTCTGGGTGTGCGTAACACTGACCTGTGTTTGAGCAGAGGGTGTGTGGGTAGTCCATTGGTTCGTCCTCCCGATCCGCCCACTGCTGCTCACTGGCGAGAGAGGAGGGTGAGTGTGATACGGCTCTGGATCGTTCACAACCCCATGTCCCCTCAGGGGACCCAGAGGTAGAAGAAATTGCTCTTTTGTCGGGTACCACTGACCGCAAGGTTTTGCTGGAGGCTGCTGCGGACGCTGCGCGGGAGCGGGGGTGGTGGCCGGGGGATCTCCACCGTGTCGCCGAACAGGCCGGTCTGGGACACGGGGGCGTTTCAAGAATCTTGTCTTGTCCGTCTTGCGCATGTTGGCCAGACACAGCCAGAGATGGCATTCCTGGACCACCATAGTGGACATCGCACAACCCAGAGACCGTGCCGTAACCTTCGTCGCTCGTAGCGCGAGGTCCGTCGCGGTGCGGAGTTCTTTGAGAACCGGAGTTCTTTGAGAACTTCCGGGTCGTGACCACCCTCGTGCAAGTCCCTCAGTGCCTTAGCCTGGTTCACTTGCAGTAACGCCGAAGCATGTAAGGCGGACGCAGCTTCTCCACAGGCCGTATAAGCACTGCCGATCAAGGCCAACGAGTGCCTACAGGCCCGGGAGGGGAGCAACGGTTTGCCCCGCCAAGTGTTAGCGGCATTTGGACACAATTGCATCGTAACCGACCGCTCCACCTAGGGAACTCCCGCGTACCCCTGCGCTGGACCCCCATCAAGGGTGGTGAGGGAGGATAAGCCACTGGGCCGGTTTCTGGCAGTGAAAGGTGCCGTCCACGACCCAGCAATCTCGTCATGCACCTCCGGAAGAAAGGCACTGGGGTGGGGCCCTGAGAACCAGCGCGCGCCACCCCGAGAAACCAATCGTCCAATGTTGAGGGTTCGGGTCGCGGTGGAAGATTCCACTCGAGCCCGACACTCTCAGCAGACCGGGAAAGCATAGCCATCATTTCCGGGTCCGTATCCGGCACCGCTGACCACGCTGACGGATCTTTATCCCCGGAGAAATCCGGCTCACCCTCCGCTACTGCAACCGACATCCGGTCGTTGGGGGGAGCCTCGGAAGAAACAGGTGGTACCCCCTGGGAGGGTCCAGCCTGCTCTTTTGAAAGCTCCGCTGGTTTCGGAGTGCCGGCTGCCTGGGGCATCCCCGGAGGGAAATTCCTCACCGTGACCTGACCGTAAGACCAGTCCGCCCACTGCCAGAAGAACGGCGCCCCCGTCTGCCGCCAGAGGGAACCCCAGATCTAGGCAGTGGCACGGGTACTCTGCCCCCTTGCAGGTAACGAAGTCTGGTCCGCAACTCCGAGGTGGTCATACCCCCGCAATGGGAGCATGAGTCATCCACGAAAGCCACCTCAGCGTGCTTCATGCCTAGACACGAGAGGCAGCGATCGTAACCATTACCCGGCACCAGGTAACGACCGCACCCAGAAACACACGGATGGTACGACATCTTTAAAAAGACGCGTCTTTAAAAAGACGTTCCACCCGTGAAGCTCTTTTAGATGTAATTTGCTCTTTTAGTGTGCTGAAGCGCACAGGGGAGATGGCCGTCTGCAACACACACAGGGGTAGTGCAGCCTGTTGTGTGCAACCCACTCGACATGGGAAAGCCCCCGCCGCTGAAGCGCCGTCCACCAGCACGAGAGCGTGCTTGACTGTAGCTTTACTCTTAGCAGAAGGTCAGGAGCAGAATGATAGAACCGCTCGGCTCCGAAGCGAAAAGCTGAATATGCGCTGCATCTGCTGCCTACTTATACTCACGCTGTGATCAGCAGCAGCTGGATGCAATAATCGCATGCCAATGTGCATTGGCTCGTTTAGTTTACACTCGAAGTAGATTGGTCTCTCTAAGCGAGATCCCAATTTGTCGGTCACAGACTGAAAGGGAATGTATGTTTCTGTGGATGAATACACATTCTGGCTTCCCAATATATTACAACAACAGCGATGAGAGAAGAAGAAAAAATCGGGTGCCTTGCATTATGTTGCAGTAATTTAACCTTCATCCAGGGGAAAAATTAAGTACACTATTTGTGATTGTCACTTCTTCACGTTAGATTCAATCATTTCTGACAGTTGACAAAATCAAGGCATTCACCATCCTGGATGCAAAGACTGGTCTTACATGTGTCTCACTGAGAAATCATAAATGCGGTTTCAGAAAGCCATGCTGATAAATGTCCAATAGTGTTTCAAAAACGCATGAAGCAGCTAATCAAAGAACAACCATTTACATCATTAATACTGTTTGGGAATATATCCATTAAGGCAAGAGATAAGCATCTTCAGATATGAAGAGATTAGTAGCTACAAACCCTAAAATCAAGCCAAGCCATTTCATTATATAGTTTCTAAGGTGCTACAGTATGTGTGGGCTACTGTCTCAGTCCACAGGGAGTGTTACATTAGATCCCAGTGCAACAGAAGCTACATGCTGCCCTCTTGTTGATAATAATGGATTACAGAAATTACTTGAAATTACCAACTGCTTGGTAGTAAATGTCATGTTACAGTGAGATAATCACTCCCTGTATATCAGCTGATAAGCCAGGATGGAAAATTATGCTTATAGAAATGTTGCATTTACATCTAAAGCTCTGCTGTGTTTCAGAACTGCTGCTTGGCCTCATCTGTTTATCACATAGGCTATTCCATCAATACCATGATGCAGCACTTGGTATTAGCATGTCTTGGGTGACCAATCCCAAGTGATCATATGCAAATGATGCATAAATGGCATCTGAAACTTTTTTTTGATCTGTTCATTCAAACCACCTACAAAGGCAGTCAGGTATCCAGTGCTCAAATGTAATGTTTTATGTTTTTTTAGTTTAATATACTTAACAATAGCATCATTTAAAGTAACATCTCACACTATTAATTAGAGGTCTTGCAATAAAATCCCAGAAGAATAAATTTTCTCAGCTACATTTTTATGATTTCACTAGCCAGGTTTACATAGGCTTGCACATATTTTTATGCAGACTTTTACATTGAAACTACAAGATGCGAATAGATCTGGAAACTTCAACAATCAAATGAAATTTCAAAAATGTGCATATTTGTGTATACATTCACTTGATGTGTGTATATTTTTTATTTGGTAAGCAGACGCGCATAAACTACAATGGAAGCCCATCCAATTCCTAGACTTCAATTTCATTGTTCAAATTTATTTGTATAGCGCTTTTCGTGATACAAATCGTTGCAAAGCAACTTTATAGCAAATTAAGTTTCTGCAATATTTAGTAGTAGCTTATCAGTGGTGACTGTCAGTTAATGTACATATGGCAGAAATGTACGGAAAAATCAATTAAAGACGTAATCAAACAGACGATGAACACTATTAACAGCAATTATTATATGATGCAATCAAACTTATAGCAAAATGTGGTAGTTCTGTATGTTGTTTCAGGGTTGGCATAATCTGAGGTCCTCTGAGGGGTTGGCATCATCTCTTCTCAGGTGTTCTGGATCCAGACTGAAGCTTGTGTAAATCCTAGTTACGCAAAAACAGAGAAACAAATAGAGACATAATTAGCGTAGCTGCTGTTCCAACCAAGCAAAATTGATTTGTTTAACCCAAGCTAAAGAATAATAATGTACATTTGATCAGATATAACTGTAGTACAAGATTATGATATGCATTATTGGAATGCTTGGCCAAAGAGATGTGTCTTTAATCTAGATTTAAACAGAGAGAGTGTGTCTGAACCCCGGACGTTATTAGGAAGGCTATTCCAGATTTTGGGAGCCAAATGCAAAAAAGCTCGAGAAG